GAAGTATAATGAGAAGTTTTATATTTGAAATGTAAACAGGGCTTTGGATTTACACTGGAAGGTGTGTGCGATTGAGTCATCCTGGAGAGATGAAGGCAAATACAGCTGAGCCCTGAAGGATGAAGCAGGATTGGACCATCAGGAGACAGAAGGAGGAGAGGGGTCTCTGCCCTGCTCTTCCTCCTTGGCCCCCTGCGGCAGCGACCACGGGTGTGGTGCGGCAGGAAGCCGGCTGCCACAGCCTGTTTGCTGGAGGACCTGGCCAGCTCCAGCCCCGGAGGAGCCTCTCCCCTTGCTTGTCAGATCTGACGCAGTGCCTGAGGCATCTAGTGCAAAGCAAGAGAGATTGTGCTTGCAGCTCTTGGAAGAGTACCCAGGAGGAGGGGAGGCACAGGGGGCCCTTGGCGGGGGAATGGGCGGCTTGGAAGGAGGTACCTTTTTTCATGATTGTGCCTACCCCTCCTCAGGGCCTGGGAGCCTGAGCTATTGCTTTGCATGTGTGATGTTAGACTCAGAGTGTTTTGTGTCTTTATTTTAAAACTGGCTTCTCAGTCTCCTGTGCAGTTTTCTGTCAGCTCGTTGCCATGGAGGAGTCGGTTGGGGCTGGAAGCTCTTGTCCCTCTCTGTGTCAGCATTTTTGGACCCCCCAGCTGCCTCCTGCCCTTCTACAGATGGAGGGGGTGCAGGACCCCACTGGGTGGGCAGGCCCTTTCTCTGCAGGGACTGGAGCTGCATCTCAATTCCCTTTGGGTAGAGTTTCATTCATCTGTGTACTGACTCAGCAACTCTGTCGTGCCTGCCTCTGTGGGCTAGGCATGGCGCTATGCTCCATGAGCACAAAGATAGGACTGTGGCCCAGGGTGGGGTGGGGGTGAGGGGGTGGGGAGGGCACGCGCATCTTCAGGCAGGACCCTGCCGGCCAGTTCTTTCGCACCATCCCTTTCTTGTTCTGTTCCTCAACCTCATTCTTTCTTAGAATTTCAAGGACTGTGTGTGCTTCTCCTCCAACCTTTATCACTGCTCATTTAGAATCTCCCTGGGAGTTTCCTACTAGTCTCTTCGCTTCTGGATCTCATTTCCTCTCCGTGTCTCCAGCACCCGGCTCGGGATCTCAGGCAAAAGAGGGGCTCCCCTAGGAAGTATCTGTCCAATGGAATCCTTTGGCAGACTCTCAGCGTGTCTGTCTATCCTGTCTTTCTTCCTCTCTTCCAAGCCTAGAGGCGGTGTGGGTGGTAGCATGAGCCAGTGGGAAAAGGAAGGACTTTGGAACCAGATCAATCTGCGCTTGAGTTTTGGCACCACCTTTTTCTAGCTGCATGATCTCAAGCAAGTGACTTCTTCACTTGGAGCCTTAGTCAAACCTAACACTTTTCTTTAAACCTGAATCGCCTGTTAGTCAGTAATTGAGTTTGGATGTTTTAAAAAACAGCGTAGGAAGTCCTGGTGGCCATTTACCCCCCCCGGGTGCTCTCCTTCCACACCCACGTGGGACCCAGTTGAGAAGAGGTTTGGAGCTGTGTTCTGGCTGTGACCCTGAGGTATGGTAGGACCTGATCAAGTCTCTTTCCTTACCAAGACCTCAGTTTTCCTCTTTGAAAAATTCGGGAATTGGATTGGGTAATCTTGAAGAGTCCTTTTCACTCTAAAAACCTGAAGATTCAACTTTAACTGAAAAATCTTCCCATAGCTGGTATGACCATCATCACTAGTGCCCCCAGGTCGGAGGCTGGCCTCAGCATGACCCCTTCTGCCCGCCTCTCAAGCTACTCTCCCAGGAAGCTCTGGGCTGGGACCCTGGCATTGGTTGCAGAAATCTCTTTTGGGTGTAATAGTCCTTTTGAATGCATCATCTCTATCCCACCCCAATCTAGAGGCTAGGCTTGGCTTGTATCCCAGAACAGTGGAGAATCGCTGGAAGGAGGAGTTTCTTCCTTCTTCACCTGTGTCTTGATTTTCTTCAGGACCTGTTGCCTTCCTGAGCCTTTGGCTAGTGAGGATTGTATTTCTTGAGCTACCCGCAAGCCAGGGATCTGTGCCAGAGGAGAAGAGATACAGGAGGCATCCCCCCCCCCCAATGTCATGGACCCCAATCTGTGTTATGGACAGGCAAAACAAAGCAGAGCCATGAAGTTCCTGAGAGGCTTGTCCAGGGAATTTACCTAATCCTAGTCCCTCTGCCTTGGGCAAGTTCTTCCCTTCTCCAGTGCCCAGTGTCCTCTTGGGTCGCGTTGAGAGAGTTGGGCCAGTGATCTCAAAGTTCCCTTCCTGCTCTGGAACTTCTTTTCGAAGTGCTGTAGCTCAGCTCAGGGAAGGAGTGCTCGTTGTAGACTTTCTAGTGGAAGGAGGACTGGAGCCAAGACTTGAAGGCTAGACAAGGATTTGGACTGGCCCAGGAGAAATGGATAAGGGCCTTCCTGACTGGAAGAAGTGGAAGGAGCATGTGCGAGCACAGCCAGAGACTGTGGAGCACGGGGGAGGGTGGAGCAGGGTGGAAAGCCCTCCTGATCAAAACAGAGGGTCCATGTGGGTCATGAGGAGTGAGAGCAGTCTTGGAGGAGGAAGCTCTTGCCATCCCTCTGAGAGCCCTCATCCCCATTGGCACAGGTAGCAGTAGTCCCTAAAGACAGAGAAGCAAGCAAGGTGGGTTAAAACCAGGGCCCCCTCCCTATCTGGGGGCCCTAGTCTGATGCTTCTTGTGACAGAAAGACCTCCAAACAAGAAGGTGCAAGGGTCAAAGCTAGGAGAGGACACCCCCTCCGGGCCCTTTCCTTCTCGCTTCAGCCAGCAGGTTCTTGGTTGGTAGGATCAGGGCGGAGTGTGGGAGAGTAAGTCTGCCCAAGAGAGCTGCCCTTCTGTCATGGTTTGTTCCTCCCCAAATGTTTTCCTGAAGTCAGGGTGACAGGAGGGGTATTTTGACCATGTCCTTAGGAGTGGATTCTAGATCCATCTACAAGGCTTATGAATCAGAGAGTCTCACATCCTAGACCTAGCTGTGACCTCCATCCTCCCAGTCCTCTGGCTCAGGCTGACTCCTGTCACCCCTCCGAACCCGCAGCTTCACAGATGCCAGGCCCTCTGGGTCCTGCCTCCTTGCTTTCTCTCCCACCGTCCGTCTTCTGCATCCCACCGCATCTGAGACAGTGCGGGCTCCGCTCATGCTCTTTCCCCTGGACCTTGCCTCTGCCTCCAAGCCGGTCTTCCTGTGGCCCCTCCTCCGCATTCAGCCCAAGTGCTCCCTCAGTGTTATCCACCGTGACGACAATGACAATGATGATGACAGTTATTATCCAGATTTTGCTTCTGAAGCACAGCTCTGATTCTGCTGCTCCCTTGCTCAAGAGTCTCAGTGGCTTCCAATGGCTGCTGGATAAAGTCCAAAATCTGTAGTCAGGCATTTTGAGGATTATATTTCCTGAGCTATCTGCAGTGATATGCCCCCTACCTGTCATTCCCAATTTATTTCCTTCTACTGTCTGTGCACTGCCTCTTCCACCAAGCCGAGCTACCACCATTAGCTCTACCAGCTCCATCTAGCTTCCCAGCAAGGCCTGTGTTCACATCGTTCTTCCTGCTCGGAAGGCCCTTCCTCCCCATCCCTTAACATGTCTTTTTTCGTCGGGAAGTCTCTGATCACCTAGACTACATATTCCTTGATGGTTCATTCTGTATCCCTGATGGCATCTATCAAGGTAAAGTCAAATGTCTTTTTTGTTTTTGTTTTTGAGTGACTAGAAAGACCTACTTTAGCCCCCTGTTTTTGAGCAAGCTTGAAATTAGGGACGTTGGAATCAGGGGAAGCTCCGTCATCAAGGCCTGTCCAGGCAAGGCCTCAATGCCTATGCTGTTCCTTGAAGGGATCTGGAAGTTACCCAGTGTCCATGGGCACATAGTCAGTGAGTTCCACGTACTCATGCCTCCTCTCTGCTGCATATAAGCAAATTGGCAGGAGAGGGTAGAAACCCAGGGGAACCATACTAGCTATGGAGTTGGCTCTTGCTAGGTCAGGATAAGGATCAACCATCCAAGGTATAGGGACCTCTGTGATCCTGGGAATGTATCCTGGAGGCTACATATCCTGGAGGGCCTGTTTGGGGATCCTTCAGCAGGAAGGTAAGGGGTCTGAGAGCAGGAATCTTAAGGTAATTGTCGTGGGGCATTCAGATTCCAAGAGGATCCAGCCAGACATCAACTTGGGGGACAGATACAAGGTTCCAGCCATTAGGTGGTGAGATGGCAACAGAGTGTAGGCTGAGTGTCAGGGTCCTGCCCATCCAGCTACAATTAACTCAGACCCTCTAGCCTCAGAAACCCTCAGTTTAGGGGTCACTAGTCCTTTGGCTGGGCATTCCCAGTGGGGGTCAGCAGGGAGGCTGTCAAAGGGAAATGGGCTCCCTTTCTGGTCAGGATTGACTTGGAGACAGGTGTGACCTCAATTTGGAGACACCTTCTTCTGGTCTTTGGTTCCCTTAGGCAGGCAGAACTGGGGGAGGCAATGGCTGACATTTTGCCAGGCCTGGAGGTGAGTCCTGTCTCTCCTCCTGGTTCGCAGTCTGGCTCACCAGGCCCTTGCCTCCATTTAAGACTCAGGCTATGATCTAGCCACCTCTGGGCCACTGTTGGGAAAAGTCAATCGCAGGCTGATACTCACTGCCTGTAAATGGCGTGGAATTAGACTAATCAGTGACTCTTAATTCCCCAACAAATGCAAGTGCTGTGCTAATTGCCAGGGTCCACGCAGGCAGATCCCTGGCTGGCAGCATCAAACAAGAGAAGTGGTAATTTGGGGGCTGGAGTGGGGGAGGGCCTGCTTTGTTGGTTGAGCCAGTTAAAAACCATATTACCCCAAGTGAGCCATAGTGCAGAGAGCCGGGGTCTCGCCTCCTTATCAGCCAACAGCCACTTGAGTGGCCCACAAGTGTGTTTGCAAGAGCTGAACCTCAACACCAGTGGAACAGTTGCTTGTCCATTAATGGGATTTTTTTTTGGCTCATTAAGGACGATTCCACCAGCAGCCTGGCTTGGCACTGCCAGGACAGCGCATGGGGGATAAAGCATCCTGAACCTTGGTGTGCTGTTACCACGGCAACGGGGCATTCCAGACTCTCCAGGCAACCTCACTGACATCTGCTGTGAGAGATTCAGATGGAGAAGGGCCACCGCTCTTTCTCCAGTAGAGACAGAGCAAATTGTGAAGACAGGGAGCCGTGTGCCGAGGACCAGATCTTAAAGGAAAATGCTGTTCCATTGGTATGGGGGCTTCTTGGTGAAATGGCATTTAACTAGTTAAAGCTATCTGTTCTGTCTGTTCTAGTCTATCCGGGAGGGAGAGCCGCAGGATCAGGAGAGACCTCCTGGAGGAAGAAAGTAAGAGGAGATGAGGAAGAGTAGGGGGAGCAGTATGAACAAAGGCCCAGCCGGGAAGGCAGATGGGGTGGGCAGTTGGGTTTGGTGGGAGAAAAGACATTGGTGGAGGTGGACAGGTGTCAGCCTTGCCTCTCTGTAACTTGCTGCTCTGAGCCTTAAGCAAAAGCCTCATGGTGACCTCACTCCCCCCAGACAGTGGGTGGAGGACACTCTGCCTTCCTTTCCTGAGGTATGGGGACTGGTCTCTGCACCTCACACCTCACTTCAGGGGGCCATTTTCCTATTCTCTGTCTTGGCTCACAAGTGTTTGCCTTATCTCTTGTACCCACTAGCATCACTGAGCCTCTGTATTTCATAGACAAATTGAGATCCAGAGAGGAAGATGCTTGCCTGAGGTTTCTGAGATACAGAGGCCATGGAACATAGGAGCTGAGAACTTAGGTTCTGGAGACAGACTGACCTGGTTTGAGTCCTGGCTCCACCATTCAGTTTCCAGGGGAGCCTGAGCCTCACCTTCTTCAGGGGTGAAATAGGGATCCTGAACATGCCTGCCCACCCGGGTATTAGAGGTGCAAACTGAGAGAGTGGAAATGGTGCTGCAGGATTCCCGGAATGTAGTGAGTGCTCAGGAAATACGGGTTAGTAAGAGATGGGGAGTTCCTTAAGAAATGGGGACTATCTTCTTCATCTTTGCTCATTCCTCCTTCTCCTTCCTCGTACACATGAGCACCCAGATAGTACCGCATCTAGAATTGATGGTAGAAGGATGTTGGTGGATTGGATGAATGCTCGGAATAAAGAACTGCCCATATTGGTGGGCTCTACACTCCTGGCAGGTGTGTTCAGCTTTGGTGCTGTTTGGTCTCCACAGGCCAGGGTCCCGTGCAGCTCAAGTCCCAGATCCAGCTGCCCTGTGGCCTGGGACTTACGCTTCTCAGGATTGTTGGTTTCTTGAAGGACAGGAATAGAGTCCTTCAACCTTTGGGCACCGTATATGGTGTAAATAGTAACTAAGAGATGGCTTAATAATATACAAAAGGTTTGCATTCCCCTGCTGGAGCAGGGGCATGGTCCCATCTTCTGACTTCAGCTCTGGTGATCCACCGAATGAAAGCTCTTTGGGTCCATATTTCTTCTATGGAACTGTGGCTGTTAACAAGTGCAGATAGTCATTAGGCCACGGTTTGAGAAACAGTGGCCTACTGCCTAGAGCTGGGGAAGGTAAGACCCAGCAAGAAGCAGAGAGTTAGGCTCGCTCATGCAGCCCATAGGCGCAGAGGTCCCCTAGGAGTCTCATCCTCCGGAACCTCATCCACTGCCCTTTCCCCTGTGCCACAAAGGCAGCTGAGCCAGGAAACGAGTGACACCGTGGAGAATAACAGAGTGGTTTCCATAGCAATGCTCAGTGGCTTGTGCCTGTTGGGACACCTCAATCACCGATCTGAGCTGTCTCAGCTAGAACTCGTGTGAGGTGTCACCTACTTGTTCCATGCAAGGGGTCTTGAGGGCGGGAGGAGAGGACGGATGGCACGCTTTGATCATGGGGATTCTCCCAAATGTACTAACTGCCGGCAGCAAGAGAGAGCAGACCAAGGAGGGCTGGGAACTGGACCCTGGGCAGGAGGCACGAGGCCACCCGGTGGCAGCTGGGGCGATGGGGGAGGGAACAGGTGTCAACCAGGCATGTATCACAGGATGGACTCTACGCTGGGCTCTTTACACCTTCTTTCGGGAAAAGACAAATTGTAAAGGAAAGATGATTGTCCTTATTTACAGATGAAGAAAGAAAAGCTCAGATCTACACAGCAGGTGACAGGCAAGATCATACCCAAGCCTGTCTGACTCCATAGCGACTGAGGGGCAGCAGCTGTTTCCAGAGTCTCGGGCCCATCCAGTGAGAACTTGAGATACATGCTGCACAGCGGACTCTTCCTGGTCTGGGGACGTGGGGTGTCTGCCTGCAGGGGGCTGCAGTGGGTGCTTATTCAAAGAGCTGGAACAGACTTGGCCAGACCGGCTGAGAGAGCCGAAGGTTGAGTCTGACCGGTGATTACCTGTAATGTCTCTCTTCCCCACAACTGAGGCTGCAGGCACTCTACAAACCTCGTGTCCCTTCAACACAGGCTGCCCCGACTGGCCCCTCTGCATACCCCCAAGCCTTCCCCTGGATTCGTGACCCGGGGAGGCCTGCCCAGCTCTTCGACTGGGCTTTCCTCTCAAGGGAATGAGCTCCTGCTGGGGCAAGTAACACCTGTTCATTCCTAAAACGAGTATTTATTGAACACCTTTTATATACCCATAACTATTCTCAGTGCTGGGGACGCAGCGGTTGAACAAAATGAAATTTTTGCTCTCATGAAGTTTTTCATTCTAGTAGAGAGACAAGTAAATATAGGATGGGGTGTTATGTGCCAGGAAGGAAAATAAAGCAGGGTGAGGGGATAGCAGGATGGGGTTGAATGGTCAGGGAAAGTTCTCTGAGAAAGTGACATTGAAACTGAGCCCCGAATGAAGGCCCCATGGATTCAGAAGCCCACCGTTAGCTCTTGAGCTGCCCGCTGCTCACTGGGGAGCACCTACGTTTGTCATTCCCACGCTTTCCCACTTCTCACTCGGGTTCCTAATCTCTTAGGCTTACCAGAAGTCTGCTTTCATTCATTCACTCATTCATGTCTAATAGGCACATCCACCTTAAAATGTCCAGAACAGAACTCTCGGGTTTTCTCGCCAAGCCTGGCCCTCCCCCAGCCCCCTCAACCTCACAAACAGCGCTACTGTAGTGAATCCCCCTTTTACTCACTCTCTGTGTCAGTCCATCAGCAGGTCCTAGACACCCTCCTATCAAAGCAGAGTCAATTCCTCTGCCCCCAGCCTGCTCAGTCTTGCCCCCTCATGCGGTGCTCTGCAGGGCGGGAGCCTCCTGAATGTCTCCCTGTTTCCCTTTCACAGAGCAGCCTTTTCAAATATAAGTCAGGTCTTACCACTCCCTGCTTAAAACTCTCCAGTGGCTTCTCTCAGCATTCTCAAAATAAACTCCTAACTCCTCAGCAGGCCTCCCCTCCCTCCCAAGGCCCACCTCACCTCAGCTCCCAAGGCCCCACACAGGCGTTGACCTCCTTGGCCTGGAACTGGCAGGACATCCCGCCTCGGGACTTTGTATTTATCGTTGCCTCGGCCTGGAGAGCTCTTCCTCCAGGTGCTTGTGTGGCTGGTGCCTTCTCGTCCTCCAGGTCACAGCTCAGAGGCCACCTCACTGGAGAGGACTTCCTGACCCCCTGTCCTAATCGTATCATTCCATTCTGTTTCTTTATAGCTCTTCTCACTAGCTGCATCCTGTTGATTCGTGTGTCTGCTTGCTTGCTGCTCCCCCATTAGACTGTGCGCCCCTGGAGGACTTATTACTGCTCTACTCCTCCTGCTAGAGCCGTTCGTGAACCTTCGGGCGCTCTAGAACTATATCTCCACTCATGTGTTCACTCTGATGGATAAAACCATAAATAAATAGGTGGAGCCCAGAGGACTTAGGGCAGTGAAACTCCTCTGTCTGATGCTATAATGGTGGATACATGTCGTTGGATATTTGTCTAAACCCACGGAATGTACCACAACGCCAAGAGTGGCCCCTAATGTAAACTGTGGATTTGGGGCCATAATGAGGTGTCAGGGTAAGTTCATCGACTGTAATAAATGTACCACTCAGGTGCGGGACATTGATAGTGGGGAAGCTGTGAATGTATCGGGACGGGGAGCTGTCTGTATTTTATGCTCAATTTTTCTGGGAATGCTCTAAAAAGGAAAAAAATATATTAAGGTAAATTAAAAGGATTAATCCTTTAGTTTTTTTCACTATTTCATACTATTATATTTCCTTTCTTTCCCTTTCTTTCTTTCTTTTCTTTCTTTCTTTCTTTCTTCTTTCTTTTTGACTGTCATAAAGTTCAGTAAAAATTTACTATCTGTAAAAGGAAAGATAAATAAGAGCCACACTCTCTTCCCAAGAGGGTTTGGTCCCTCTGAGGAACTGGCCACCTCTCTTCTAGGTGCCCCAGACCTGGCTACCCGTGCTGTCTGAGGGCTACTCGCTGTGTGCCAAGAGCATTGAACTGAACCGGGTGCAGCCCCAAACACAGAGCAGACACTCAGTAGGCTTTCAGTAAGTGACTGGAGAGGGAGGGAGAATTCCTTCTCAGGTTTGTGTTATCCAGCAGTTTCTCTCTAGAGCCCTAATCTTCTGACCTGCATGGGGATTCGTCTGGCCTTGGCTCTGGGTTCCAGAACAGACCTTCTAACCTCCACCCCCGCTGTCGCTCTAACTCCCAGCATCCTGTCCTGCACGCTAGTGATTCCCAAACAGGCACGGGGAGCACAGCATAGAGACGCTCTGTCGGTGACCAGCTTCCAGAAATGGCAGGAGTCCCACTGCCCCTGGTCCCAGAGCTGCATCTGTGCCCCCGCCTCTCTGCGGGTGCCCCTCGGGGATCGCTGTGTTCGTTTAACAAGATGACAATTAATGGAGACAAGTTGAAAGTCCCGGCCAGGGCCAGAAGAGCAGCACGCAGGCCAGGCCAGGGGGTACAGCACAGCTTCTCGAGCACAGTTTAGGAGTATACGTGTGGGCTGTGGGCTCAGCAGGAGTCAGCAGGCTTGGACTCCAGTGCAGCTAAGGTGACCTCGGGCTACACTGATAGAGGCAGCCTCTGGGACCAAGTATACGGCTAGAGGGGCACCCTTGGCCAGGTCTGGGGACACACTCAGAGAGGGGCGATGGCAACCTGGAACCTATGGAGAACGGGGTCCCTGGCTGGCGGGGAGGACAGGCCACCAAGTTGCACAGGGGATGATATGTCACCTCCAGCGAAGAAATCTCAGAGGATAGGAGAGCC